GCTACGTAAACTTAAAAAGATTTACCACTCGAACACCCCGTCTAACTGTCGTAATTCGCAAGAATTGCACGTTAACACTAATATTTTTTTTTCAGTAATTTTTATGACTTTTATTAATTTATATTATTTCTATTATTCTTTTATGATATCATATTTCTTATTTTATATCTTTTTATATCATAATAATATTTAAGATAATTTTTTGATTATTTATTTTAATTAATTTTTATTTACATTATTTGGTAATATATTATTCCTTTTTTTAATAGATAGTTTATTCATATTTTGTAATTTATCTTTTTGATTTTAATAAATAGTTTATCTGTATTTTATAATTTTATCTATTTAACCTTTAGTAAATAGTTTATTTGTATTCTGTAATTTATTCTTTCTTAAGTTATATGTTTTCAATTAATAATTTATTTTTTATTACCAACATTCCTAATATTTTATAAAAATAAAAAGTAAAAAATATTTTTTTTTGCTATAATTTTATTATACAAATAAATAAATAGATAAATATATAATAAATAAGTAATTACATAATATTAATAACAATTATTAGTAATAATTCTAAACCTTTTTTATAAGTAATGGTTTTCTATAAAAAAAATACAAATACTAGAAAAATATTTGCATTTATTATATTTTTATAAAATTTTCATAAAAAAGTAAAATTTTATAATAATATAATAAAATTAATTGATTAGCAAACTGATCATATAATATAACTTACAATTCATTATTGAAAAAAATTACATCTATTATAATATAATTCAATATTATATCAAAAAATCTATAATAGATTTTTATAACTGTAATTGTTAAAATTATAATTAATTTGCAGAAAATAATAATTTAACTAAGAATTTATATTATCAACTTTAATTAATAGTAAAATTTCTTTTTATTATATATAATTCAAGTATTTTATTTATAATTTGTTTTGAATAAATAAATTTATTTTAGATTTCAAACTGCAACCTTTATCTTTCAATATTTTTAATATTTAATTTCTTTTGATTTTTTTAATATTTAGATTCTTTAACATTCAATTTTATTCAAATAAAATTTCTTGAAAATATATTCATAAATTTTATTTAATAAAGCATAATTTGACTGACTTTATTTTTTTTTTAAAAAATTATACTGTTCAGAATACTCAGATTATATATAACATTAAATAAATTATTTATTTTCTTTCAGTTTATTGAGTTATAAAAGGTGAAGAAGAATTAAATAGGTATTTATATTATTTTTTATACTAGTTATCAATTCTAATACTAAATTTTAATAGTAATTACTAGTGTATCCTCTCTTTACAATTTTTTACATTTTCTTTTCTAGTAATATCTTACAACTAATATTATCTTCTGACTATAATAATAATCCTTCTTTTGTTTCACTTAGGGATGTTAAGCGGTCCTTACGATTTAAGTAATTACTATCTAGAGAATGTCTATAATAAGTAAAAAAAAAATGTTCATAATTAATTTGTAAAAACGATAATGATATTCAAGTATAGGATCGGTCCTAGGGACCCGATCCCAAATCCTAAAATTTTAAAATTTTAAGAAATTCCGGAATCCAATTATTTATTTTCATTAAGTAGTTCATTAAAACATTATAATAGACAAAGTTTAATGATAAATTTGTAAAAAGTAATTTTTCTTGGCTTAGCTATGTGTTCTCTCCTTATAGGTGTATAAAATGTTAGATCGACATGATGATCGATTTAAACTAATTGGCTTATTGATTTTAGTACCAGGGTATTAATTAAAAGTTTTACCTTTTATATCCGCAGCCAATCATTATAAACTGTTTAAACTGTTTAAATATTTAAGAATAAATGAATACGAATAAATTGTAATAAAAAAAAAATATCGTTTTTTTAGTTCAATTAATAATAATGAAAACATCAATTTTATCCATATTTTTATTAATACTTGTCGTCAACACTTTTGTGAGCGCAAGTAATGTTTTAGAGTTGACGACAGATAATTTTGACAAGATAGTTGGTAAAGATAAATTCGTACTTGTAGAGTTTTTTGCTCCATGGTGTGGCCATTGCAAGAATTTGGCTCCTGTAAGTCAAATAAATATATATGTCCATCTAATTTTATTAAATCAATAATTTAAAATTTTTAATTTTCAGATTTATGAACAACTAGCCGATTCATTTACAGCTGCCAAAGATCGAGTAATTATCGCAAAAGTTGATGCAGGTAAATATAATATGTTGTCGATATTATAATGGATTTCCTGTTTCAATGCTAATTATCATGTTATCTACTTAGATAATTACAAAGATTTAGGAAGTCGTTTTGGAATTACAGGGTTCCCTACTTTGAAATGGTTTGACAAAAATGTAATAGATAAACCCGAAGATTATAGTAAAGGACGCGATTTGAGCAGTTTAACTTCTTTCGTTGAAGAGAAAAGCGGTAATCGTTCGATCCTTATTTTATAGATTATATGAATCAATTTATTTTACTAGACTATTTGATAATTTACCTTTGTTATTAGGTGTGAAAGCTAAAAAAGCTGTAACAGCAGTTACTGAACTTACTTCTCAAACCTTTGTTGAAATTGCTTTAAGTCCTGAGAAAAATGCATTGGTATCTTTATCAAGTTATAAGATTTTTGATTCACATGGTGACTATAAGACTTTAACTTTTATTTTTATTTAAGGTCGAATTTTATGCACCTTGGTGTGGACATTGCAAAAATCTCGGTAAGAAATAAAAAGATAAATAATAATGGATTATTTAATTGTCAATTATAATCTAATAAGGTTCGCATTGAAAGCTCCAATTTACGAAAGCGTTGCGAAAGATTATGCTCAAGAATCCAATGTATGTATTCATTTAAATAAGAGCCTTAACTGTATTCATCATCATTGACCTATATTTAACCCATTTCATTAGTGTGTTGTTGCCAATGTTGATGCTACAGAACATAAAGACATTGCTGAAAAATATGGAGTCACTGGGTATCCGACAATTAAATTTTTTCCAAAAGGAGAAGATAAGACGCCAATTGATTATCAAGGTGGAAGGACAGAACAAGATTTTATTGATTTTTTGAATGAACACTGCGGAACACATCGTATCGTTGGTGGAAGCTTATCTGAGGAGGTATGTAAACTTGTCTATAAAATCTTTTATTATTATCTTGTCTAATTTGGTTTATTATATCTATATAGGCTGGTAGAATACCTGAATTAGACGCGTTCGCAATAAAATTTACAAATGCCGCCACATTGACAGATGTTGATTTGGTTATTTCAGAAGCCAAAGTTGTTGCTGACAAGTCGGACAATAAGTTTGTATAATAATAATTATTATTTTTTTTCTGTTATAAGAGAGTACTATTTACTAATAATACTAATAAAATTTTTTAGGTTTGCCCAATATTATGTTAAAATCATGGATAAGATTAAAGACAAGAAAGATTATATTGATAATGAAATTGCTAGATTAGAAAAAATTATTAAATCTGGTACAATTTCAGCTAGCAAAATTGACGATTTCACAATCAGAAAAAATATTTTGGCAATTTTCCATAAAGATAAAGTAATAACCCCCCATCAAGAATTGTAGATCTTGATACAAAATTATAAATCGTGCGCATTATGTATTTCGAATAAAAAATTTTTTGTGTCACACAGAAGTGTTGCACAGTGATTACATTGTTTGACCAATAATCGTAAATTGTTCGACGAATATTTTCATACTGGTTCAACCTGAAATAATTTTTTTTTTCAAAATTAGATCTTGCCTTTAAAAGAGTGGAACGCTTTTATTTTAATATAATTTGTGTATAAAATAAATTTTCTATACTTCATATAGAATTATACCTTTTATTTAATGTTAAATTTGCACTTAATACTACTACTATTTTTTTTAGATCTATTTCTCTTAACATAGCGATAGTGATCAGGGGAATAGAAATCTTAATAATATAATAATAATAATAACATTCAATGGAAACTTTCTTATGGCTGTTTCTTCTTTCGTTAACAATGTTTATTGGTTCTTTCCTAGCGGGAAGTATTCCATTAGCATTTCACCTCTCCGAAGATAGGTTGCGAACGATATCAGCATTTGGAGTTGGCCTTTTAGTTGGAACATCATTAATTGTAATTATTCCCGAGGGAATTGAAACTCTATATAGCGTGTCGGGTTCAATTAATCTTAATTCGTCACCAATAACACCAACAATAAAAGATAATATCCTTGAACAACGTAATATGTGGAATAATGTAGAATTGCAAAGAAAAGGTCCCAATAATTATGATGATAATCTTGAAAATTTTCTTCAAAAACGAACGTTGAAAGTTGAAGACAGACCCAACGATTATAATAAACGTCAAGAAATGGATCCACTACCGGATTCACCTAATCAACCACCTAATGATGATCCTCCTACAAAATCTCCAGAGAATCAACCAGACGAACATGATCATGGAAAAGAAAATGCAAATCATCATTATATTGGATTTGCGTTAGTATCTGGTTTTGCAATGATGTTTGTGATTGATCAAATAGATTCATCTCATGGTCATACTCATACACGTGGAAACGTTGTGAGTCTAACGGAACTTCGTTCTTTGGCTAATTCTAGTGATCGTGATGTTGAGGATCATGAAATGTTGGGTGGTTCTTCTTCAATACATAAGAAACCAGCATCAGCCACGATTGGACTTGTAATACATGCAGCAGCGGATGGAATTGCTCTTGGTGCTTCCGCAAGTCAACCGGCACTTGAAATCATAGTTTTTTTAGCTATCATGTTACATAAAGCTCCAGCTGCTTTCGGACTTTCAACAATATTACTTCGTGAATCATATACTCGTCGTCAAATTCGTAAACATTTGCTCACTTTCTCATTAGCTGCACCTTTAGCCGCAGTATTTACTTATTCTTTACTTCAAAGAAGTGGTGAAATGAATCCAAATATAATGAAATGGTGGACCGCAATGTTGTTACTCTTTTCTGGGGGAACTTTTTTGTATGTTGCAATGCATGTCATGCAAGATGTTACCAATGGCAACGGTAAAGACAATGGCTTTAATGGTCACCATCTTAAGATAAAAAAATCTCACGTTGCATTCATGCTTTTGGGAATGTTCATGCCATTGCTTTTGCAATTTGAACATGGACATGGTCATTGAAAATACAGAAAAATTATCTATTTTAAAACCTTCTTCTAATAAAAAACATTCCATAATTTTGTATATACTATTTAGACTGCTTTGGAATCTTCTTCAACGTGTAGTACTCTGTTCATGATAGTGAACTATTCGCACTAATATATTAGATATATTTTATATTTCGCGATCTTATAATTATTTTAAAAAAATAGTTTGTAGTTTTTATACAAAATAATATCATTAAATAATTTTTGTGTATATTGAAGAAAAGGACAAGAAAAAAAAAGTTCATATATATTTCACAAATCTCGTGTTCATTAATTATTACATGAGTATAGTTTGCCCGTGATTCAAAAGAAGAATATTCAAGCGAAAAAGGTGCCATCATGATAACATAAAAAAGACCTAGACTAATCGTAAAATCCTATTTTTTTTGTTTGATGAAGTTTTCAAACATTTCTTCAACTTTTTCAATTCCAACCCAACCACATAACGGAGTATCGCCAAGAACATATTGAGTGTGTTTATTAAAGAATAATAATCCATCTGGTCGATATCCAAAAGAATGAGGATTCTTTATCAAGAATGATATCTTTTCTTGATCACAATAATGAGCTTTGAGTGGATTAAACGTATAAGTAGAAGTGTTTATAGTTGGACGTTCAACTTCCGCAAATTTTGTATTGAGCCAATAAAATCTATAAAAATTTAATAAAATTTTAAAAAAATTTATAAAGTATAAATTTAAGAAAACATAATTGCACCTACCTAAATTCAGTATCACAATCGTAAATGGGATGTCCTTTCCAGCACATGAGATCCAACACATAATAGGTAAATTCTGTTTGATCATAGATACAGTCCAAGATGCAATAATCGGTTGTTTTGTTTCCCTTGTAAGAATTTGCACCTGCGGGCAAAATCGATTCGAATACATTCACGATGTTTCCTATGAAGAATTTAAAATTCAAGTAAGTGATTTGATTAATTAATTTATCAAAATCATAAAGATCAATCATATCTTACCATTGCGCAATCGGCTTACCGTTTTACCTTGATTGTTGTAATATAAATTACTTTAGTGATGAAATAGATGTATATAAAATCATCAGAATCTCCTTAAATAATTACCTTTTGCTGATATTACGAGGCAACGCTTGCCTTTAGGGCACAACACAACATACCAATTATTCTCTAAATCAGATGGTATTTCATGCATCCATTCGGCATGCATTACTTGATTTCTGTATGGATTAGATCCTTTAGTTTTACGACGAGATTCTCTAAATTTTCCTTTGAGTTTGGCTTTTTTAACTGTAAATGATTCTTGTTGCAAATCATCATCTTGATCTAAATCCAGGCTGCGTTTGGTATGTTTAGTTAGTTGTTCAATGGGGATGTCATTATTAATTGATTCATCATCAGTCTTTGATTCTTCTTCTGATGAAAAATCTGCTGGTCTGAATAGTGCTAGGTTTCTCGCATGAGTATTAAGGTCCCGTCTCCTCTATAAAAGAAGTTTGAGCATATCAGTCAAAAACTTGTAAATTAAAAGGTGAAAACTGTCTTCACCTTTTTTTGTTCCTCCAAAGCTCGCTTCCTCCGTTCTTCTTGTGTTTCTTCTTTACCTTTTAATTGTAAAGGAGAGGTCTTAAAGGTTTTATGGCGAAATACCCCTGTTGAAGCAGAGACTGAAGTTGCTGAAAGTAACTCAGTAACCTCGTCAACTGTTGCTGCAGGTTTTTTAATAATATTTTCATCCAACTTGATTTCAGCTACTGATTTTTGACTACTAATTATGATGTCTCCATTATTTATTTCTTCACAATTCTCGGAAGTTTTAGTCATTATTTAAAAATGTTCGAAACTAATCAACATAAAAATTTTCAATCCGTTTGTATTTTTATCAGCCTTTTCGTACGACCCTATCATTTTCTATATTTGGTATTAGTATCATCATTCATGTTTATGTTTTAAAAAAATAAATTTCCGCAGAAATCGCAATATTTTTTTTTCCGTAAAAAAATTATTACTTTTAAATATAAAAAAAGTAAAAATCAATAGGTATTGCTTATTATAAACCTATTTTAAACGTGTAATTTAAAAAATATAAAAACGTTTCCAAAAACCTTTATTATTTTTATTCCGAGAATCCAATATAAATAAATTTTTTTTAAGTAACTAGGCCTCTCATAAACCACGTGACTTCATATAATTTAACATCTCTTACGTTTTCATTACTTACTAAAGTGAAATAATTAAAATTAGTAACATTTGTAACTTTGATCATCTTTTTTTTTTTTTTTAAAAGAATTAATTAGAAATGTTTAAATTTTGAAACAATATCCCATCAAACAAGTTTATTTGATCGCCCTTAATGATAATGTGGACTTTAATCTTGGATTTGAATCTACGAGATGATGTAAAATTTCCCGTGTTTTTTATATTGAAAATAATTAACCATTAAACGCGGTTAAAAATAAATCACTTATAGAAAGACTAATCAAAGAAATTAAAAGTTTATCGCGCCAATAGAAACTTTATTTACATTATAATAATCATGAAAACATTATTTAATATACATATATATTTCATCTACTACAAAAATTGCTATTACCGTAATTATACGAGGACAATTGTAC